ATACCCTGAAAAACGTTCGGGCTGCCAGCGTATTGCTACGGAGATATTGCACTTTTACGGTATGTTTTTAAATAAATGCCGTGGTCCCCCTCAGGAAAACCAGAAAAAATGATTTTCGAATTTCGACTTGAAACTTTACATAGAAACAGATCTTACTGAGAATAATGTTTTGTGATAGTTTCAGATCTTGTCGTTATTTCTATTCTGAAATGACAACATGAAAGCTTCTAGTTTATCTGAACGAAGTTACCATAGTGGTATCTACGGATAGGAACAGCGACAAGATCTGAAACTAATCACAAAACATTATTCTCAGTAAGACCTGTTTCTATGTAAAGTTTCAAGTCGAAATTCGAAAATCATTTTTTCTGATTTTCCTGACAGAGGCCACGGCATTTATTTAAAAACATACCGTAAAAGTGCATTATCTCCGTAGCGATAAGCTAGCAGCCCGAACTTTTATTAGGATATTCATAACTCATTTGTACATACATAACGCACATAGTCTCAACACAAAAGAGATTGATCAGTTGGGGATCTTCTCTCGTGAGTGGTTACAGTATTCGACATAGATCCATAAGTTGCTGTGTTCGAACCTTGATACCATCAGCCATAGAATGACCTCGGTCAAGTCATTAGCAATGATGAAGTATTCTTCTTTCTATGCTACCAAATGGATGAGTTATATTATATGCTTGATAATAAGAAACAAACTACTCAACTCTCGAATCAAAGCGAAGATAATTAATAGAAAATATGTTTTGATATTATAAAAAGCTTCTTGTGAATTTATCATGATTGCAAGATTCTAATTAACTAATGTAACTTCTTTCCGAAATAAAAGCAATTGTTAAAAGTTTGTGGTATTTTAATTAATTTTTTTTTATTACTAATTAGGTATTCATGAAATATTTATTCGTACTCAAAATAATCTTCTTGATATATGTCCTATTCGTATAATGGCTTTTTGTGCTCAAAAATCATATGAGCCTGTACTTCGTGTACAAGTTAAAGAAGTTCTTGAACATATATTTCAAGGTATTATTGATGAAAATAATCAATTAGAAATAAGTATTGCTGGTAAGTCATGACTTTTCTTCTTTTTTTTTTTTGTTTAATTTAAAATTATTCTTTATAGATCCATTTGAAAGACCAATACCATTTCAACGTTCAAAAAATGAACATGGTGAATTAAAAATATCTTTGTCACCTGTTCGTGTTGGTAAATATCATTTTAAATAAAATTTCAAATTTTTACAAAAGTAAAAAAAAAAAAAAAATTTTCTTCTATCAAAGGTACACATTGGATATGTATATCAAATGATGATAATGATTCTTTTGCTGTATTACCAGTATTTGCTTATGATGATGATTATGTTCTATTATCACCAATTGATAGACTTTCACCACATGAAAAAACAATATCAAATGGAAATAATAATAACAATCATCATGATACACCGAGTACAATAGATTCATTATCTCCTGGTCGAGAATTTACAACAATTAGTGAAACATCTGAATTTCGTCCATCGAGACAATCATCAATCTCACCTATACGTATACCATCTCCAATAAAAGAAACTGCAACAATTACTTCATCTATAGATTTAAGTGAACCTTCTAAATCACCAACTATTAATGATCGATCAAGTCCTGAAGTACAAACACTTGATATAAGTGATCTAATTGATCCATGTGTTCATAATATATCAAAATTTAGTTTCAAAGATCCAAATGACAAATTCAATATTATTATTCATGGTAAAAAATTTATGCATAATCGATCGAATTGAAAGTTTTCTTGTTAATTCGATTTATTATAGTTCAGAATAATTAAGCTAATTTCATTTCCAATAAGCACAAGATATATGATTCAATCGTGATAAAAAAAAACATAAAACAAATTCTCTATGATATATGTAATTTAGGTTTATTAGCTGAGACTGAGGATATGAACAGTGATGAGATTGAACAATTGATTAAATATTTTGAAATGAAAATTTCTAATTTTTCCTGTGTGTTAAAATCGGAAAATATGTATAATGCCGTTACATATATGTAACTATTTTTTTTTTGTTTCATTCGAATCGTTTATATATGATTTGATATGCAATTTTTATGTGATCATACCTATGATAAAACTTCTGAAATTTCGATTCGATCGATTAAAATAATTATGTACGAAAATAATGTTCTATTTGCTACTATATTTTCATACTTGCATAGATGCTAATGGAGATGTTATTGGTTATAAAACGGAACATCTTTCGGATGGACGAAAATGTATTTCATATGAACCAACTGTTGTTGGTATGTTTATATTTTACTTTATTATTTCAAAAAAATGTATTACTATAATGATTTTAGGACTTGTTAAAATCCATTTATTAAAAGAAAAAGGATCAATTAATGAAAGTCTATTCATAGTACATGCATTTGATCCATCGGCTGTACATTTAATAAATTTTTCTAAAAACATACTAATAAATACAACAAATCTTTTTCATATCGATCCAACAAAAGCTGGAAAAGGAACATTAAAAATAATTATAACAGGTTTTCTTATTTTATCTCATTTTTAACTACATTATCAATTCTAATTTTTTAGATTCAAATAATCAATCTTTACCTTTGTTCGTTCAGAAACAATCAAACAATCAAATCACGGTTCAATTTAAACCAATTGTTTTAGGTAAATTTACAAAAATCTTATAATCTTCACCTCAAATATATTCCTAGGTTTACATACTGTCTTAATACTATTCAATCAAATTCCTATAACTGGAACACCATTTCAAGTATTAGTTGAAAATATTGAACAACGTAAGTATGATATTAGTATATACATAATATCAATGAAGCACAAAGCACTGTTATTATCACATCCTTATGATAATTATAACATATGTATTTTTATTCTTATAGAATCCAAAGTTAAAAATACTCGATCATTTGAAATCGAAGAACGTGAACATTCAATTAATTCTAAACATGAATTACTATTACTTGCACAACAACAAGAAAAACCACATTCATTATCTTCACAAACAAGACATTCTCTATTAGTAAAATCAAATGATATTCTTGTTCAACAAAAAGATTTCTTATTAAATAAAGAACATGAAAGAGAACAAATTTTAAAATCACAATATATACCATTGAATGAAGCAGAAATTCGACGATTACAATTAATAAAAGAAAAATTTGAACATGGACAACCGATTGATGTTGTATTTGGTATGAAAACAAAGATACTAAAGTTTTTGATTTATAACAACAGAGAATATAGGATATTTTTCACCCTTTCCGGTCGGCCTCATCTTTTTCTTCGTCCATTACAGTGCGATATTTTGTAACTTCTTTTCATTTATACCTTTATATTACAACGTAAATTATATTTTTCGCCTTTGGTTGTAAACCAAATGTTGAATACGTATCTCTAGAATGTTTTATAAGCTATCAAAACAGGGTTAACTTAGCCAGATCTCTACAAAAAATGTTTTAAAATTTTGGAAAATTCTATGAAGTTTCAAAGCATCTTTAAGTAGACTATTTCGGCATGTTCTGTACTTTTTTCAATTTTCTCAAATTCTTAGAGCTGTTCTAGAAAGATCTGCCTGTACCGGGTGTTCCAAAAGTTTTGCAACATTTTGTATTTATCTCGACTTGAGAAAATGATAAAATTTTGATTTTTTTCTTAAAAGATGCACCATAAAAAGCTCTACAAAGTTCATGTAAACAAATCCCTCTTGACTTGCTCTGTTGGTTTTTTCACGCTCATAACGAACTACCTAAATAATAGAGCTATTTTTCAGCATAATAAAAATGTTTGCAAGACATCTTTGCTTTGCATATATCTCGGCTTGAGAAAATGATAACATCTTGATTTTTTTT